ATGAGCTCGGAGTTGGAGACCTGATCCAGGACGAAGCTGCTGTCGCAGACGAATTGTATTTCGGCTCTGAAGAGGAAGATCAACGGCTTCAATATTGCAGCGATAGTGACGCCAGCTCGACGGATTCATCTAGAAGTAGCAGGAGTTGAAGTACTTGTTTGCGTAGTGAACGTGGTAGCAATGTGGTTTACTATGTAGTTTTAACGAGAAACAATTGAGCTAGCGCCGCGGATGCAAGTTCTACAAGGACACTATGGAACGTGGAAGTTGCATTCGCCATATACTCCAAGAGTGTCTTCAGCTAAACAAATTGCTAAAAAAATAGAATCTCTACAAAGATTTCAAACGAAAAGTGCGTTGCACTGCGAGAGCAGCATGCTGACGTGCGGCACAAAACAAATGCACAAATCCACCCTAATCTAAACACGATGACAAGCTAGCACCCCAGCCAACAGACAGCACACAAACTCTTTTTAAAAAGGAAAGACTGCATGTTCATTTTGGATACTATTGACGTGTATCAGGCTGTCGTGTTACGCTCTACTTAACCTCGTTCACCAACTCCTCCTTGGCCTCGTACGCCTTGATGTTGGCCATGGTGGTGTGACCAATATTGTCCAGAGCTTCCTTTGTGAAGAAGGCTTGGTGGCCCGTAATAATCACATTGGGGAATGTAAACAGCCGAGCTAGAGTCTCATCGGCAATGATCGCACCCGAGCGGTCCGAGTAGAAGTAATCACCCTCACCCTCGAACACGTCGAGACCGACCGCGCCAATCTTGCCGCTCTTTAGTCCCTCCACAAGGGCCTTGGTTTCGATTAGACCACCGCGGCTTGTGTTGATCAGCATCACACCGTGCTTCATCTTGGCAATGCTGTCAGAGTTGATCGTGTGCTTGGTCGACGGGAACAGAGGGCAGTGCAGCGAGATGATGTCCGAGCGAGCCCAGATCTCGTCCTGGCTGACGTATTCGACGCCGTAACTCAGAGCCTCAGGGCTCTGGACCACATCGTAGGCAAGCACCTTGCAGCCGAAACCAGCGGCGATGCGAGCGAACAGAGCGCCGATCTTACCCGTGCCCACAACTCCAATAGTCTTGCCGTGCAGGTCGAATCCCAGTAGGCCAGCCAGGCGGAAGTTCTGCTCACGCGTGCGGTTGTAGGAGCGGTGGATCTTGCGGTTCAACGTCAGCATCAGAGCCGCAGCGTGCTCGGCGACAGCGAACGGAGAATACGCAGGCACACGGATCACTGGCATCTCCAGCTCCTTCGCGACCTTGAGGTCAATCATGTCGAACCCAGCGCAACGCAGGAGCATGACCTTGGTGCCACCGGCGGCAAGGACGCGCAGAGCGGCCTCGTCGGCAACATCGTTGACGAAGATGCAGACGCCTTCGCAGCCTTCCGCCAACCTGGCAGAGTTGGCGTCCAGACGTGGGGTGAAGAACTTGAGCTCGTGTTTGGGAGTGATGCCGTCCTCTTTGGCAACGCGCTCCATCGACTCGATGTCGTAGCTGTGCGTAGAGAAGAAGGCGATCTTCATGGCGGCGGTGAAGTTTTCTTGGTGTGAAGTGTTCGAGGCAAAATCAGGAATGGCCATGATGTGGATGAGGATATTGATTCGCAACGCACAATCACTGCGGTTCACTATGCGATGGTGGCAACGATGTTCACTCGTTTTTGCAAAGAAACGCACCGTGCGAACTTAGTAGCATCTTGTTTTGTGCAACACACGCTTAAATTGACCTTTTAAAAATGACTCTTAAAAAACGTTTTAAGCGTTAAATTATAACATTGCTACTTAACTGTCTGCATGCACTTGATGAGACACTTGTGTTCGACTGAGTCATTACGCTCCAACATGCTGAAGGAGGAGTTGCCTGTCGTAAGCCTCATCCTGGAGCGTCAGAGCCACCACCCGCTGCTTGAAGGATTTCCGACTGCTGCACGTATCGGCGACTTGCCCTTGTACCTCGGCGAGGCAGGTGCTGCACAGGTAAACGGCGGTGCAACAATTACCCTGATCTTTCAATAACAAATATTCTATTGGCACAGGACGCAGAGTTTCTGGAGACCAACAAGATCCAAGCGGTTATCGCGCTGGGTACCGGAAATCTAACTGCGAAGGTTGCAATTTTCTGCATGTTGCTGCAAGCACAATGACACGTGATCTCACTAGGGTGTTCTACTGTAGCCATGTGAAATGCTGCTGATCGACATTTTGGACATGGAGGAAGAGCTGCTGCTGCTGCACTTCGACGAGTGTATAAGCTTCTTAAAGAGGCATCTGATGCGTGAGGATGAACCGGCAGCGGTGCTTGTGCACTGCGTATACGGTCAGTCGCGCAGCGCTGCCATCTGCGTTGCATTTCTGATGGCTACGCAAAGCAAGACGCTGCTTGACTCCTATGACGAGGTGCAGAAAGTTCGACCGTGCATCACAATCAATCCTGGATTCTTAAGGCAGCTAGAGCTGTTCGAGCGAATGGAAAACAACCCGCAGATTATGAGCAGTACGCCTGCACACGCCGAGTTGCGGATGATGATGGCAAAGCGGCAGCGTTTGAAGACAGGAGTAGCTGAGATTGTCACCACCCCGCAACTCACACGTCCAGCGCAGTCTTTATGCTGCCGGAAATGCAACTACGTGCTGTGTACAACAAGAAACCAGGTACAACGAGGCTTGCGAT